GTTTTCTATCATGCTGTGTTAAAATGTTATTGATTTTTAAAAAGGTTTCTAAAGTGAACTGAAAAATTCTTTTAAGAATATTAGAACACTTGTTTCTTAAATATAATATCAAAATAATAAAGGGGCCTGTGAATATTAGAATTGGAAGGGCATTCATTCCCATTCATTTATATTTTATAATCCTGGACAACAAAATGACTAGGAATTGGTTTGGGTTGCTATTCATGTGAAATATTTAGACATACTATATGTGCCAAACTGACTGAATCTATGAATATGTAATGTTTTTCTGGTCTGTCATAATTAGAGAAACTTGCTATGAGAAAGATATTTTGGTTCCTGCGTCATTGTCCACCATATTAAAATTTATAAATAACTTTATACATTTTGTTCATCTTTCATGTTGAATTTTCTGAAATGACTTTCACATTGGTGAGATTATTCCCTTTTTAAAAATTTGCCCCCACCGACCCAGTCTGCGTAGCTCAGTAGTTGAACGTCAACTTATGAACCAGGAGGCCGTGGTTCCATTCCTGGTCGGGGTACATACCTGAGTTGTAGGCTTGGTCTCTAGTGTGGGGTATGTAGGAGGTCCTAGCCAGCAATTGAACCAGCAACCTCTGGTGAATGGGTCATTGGTCAACCCCTGAGCCACGCCAGCTGGGCTATCTACCTTTAAAAAACACTATTGTAACTTAACCTAAAAGTGGTAGACGTTACCAGAATCCCTGACATTTTCAGCTGCATTATTTATGTTACATATATGCATATATGACATGATGATGACATATGAATTTTGGTTAAATATGATTGAACAAAAAGTAAATGTAGTTTATCTTATGCTTCTAGATGTATAGTCATAATGATGTCATGTAGCAGATAACCTTCCTCTTTTGATACTTTCAGAAGGTTTTAAACTAACCCTCAGTTAAAATATTTATGTATTAGCAAACATATATGATAAAAAACATTTTCTTTTATTCTCTTTCCAAACATAATATTCCAGAATTATTTCAATCAGATTCATTATTCAAAATCCCGAAAAGAAAATAATTAAGAAAGTGTCAGTAAGTATATGTTCATAGGGTTTCTCTGTGATTTGTACCTTTGGGTGAAGTGTATTTCACCCGGTGGTTTTTCTTTGCGTTTTTATGTGTAGGCCTGTAAGCTACAAACAAATAGGAGCACTCCGCTGCAAATAGTCCTGCTCAGTGACAAGAGTCCCATGGGCCCCCCACTGCTGTTTACCCTAGAAGCTTTGCATTAGTTTCCAATGTTCTTCCCTGAGAAATCTTTAAGGCTGACTTCCTTACTTGCTTAAGTATTGTCTCTCACTCACCTTCCCAATGCAACTACCTATTCACTGTATCTAAATTACTATACTCTTCATCTCCTTAGCACTGTCTTACTTTTTTTTTCACCCCTGAATCACTTTTGATATTTGCTTCCTGAAAAAATAAACTAAAGGCCACGAATACACTACTACATTCTAAAGGCAAAGGTTGAGTTCTGTTTGTTGAACAAGCATATCCTCCACCAAAAGTGCTTTTGCCCTTATAATTGTCCAGTTGTCGATTTCTTCACCGCACTTTTCAGAGAGCGCATTGGCAAAGAGGAAAATGTGCATGTTGAAGAAATGATGTTATAACACTACACTTTGTATTTAGAGAGCCCCTTTTTTCCAAAATGCTAATTTTGCATCAAAGCATATGAACTCATTCATCTTGTCCTCATCGCTGGTTGGTCTGAATAACCCAGTTTATTAATGAGGATCAGAGCAGGAAAGGTGAAGTGGCTCATACAGGACACACAGATAGTTGATAGTGCTGCTAAGAAAAGCATCCAAATGTTCTCTCTGTTCAATACATCATTCTATGTAGGGCTGGGTTGGAGGTTATCTCTCATTAAAGTTGTCACCTCATCTCAGTTCATACCTAATGGCAAAGGAAATGATGAGTTAAATTTAAAACTTAAAGGTTTTTTATAACATTTTTTTTTGTCTTTCAATCTGAAGATGAAAAATACTATTTTTAGATGATGAGAAACTGAACAAAATGTTTCAGACCTTTACTGAAACAATATTATATGTCTCAGCCTTAGCAAACATATTTTTAAATTACTATAATTAAATATTGTGACTATGAAAGATCAATATTTATAGCAGGTGAAAATAATGCGATAGCATAATAGCAGAAATGGGGGTAAGGGAGAAAGCTGTCTAATTTTGGCCTACTGGAACCACTATAGATTTTTGGTCCAACTCAGCAGAAATGTAGCTTTAAGAGCATAGTAGCAGCTTTCCTTTCTAATTGGAGACTTAAAAGTTAAAGGTGGCTGAGCCAGTTTACTATGCAAGCTGCCTGTGACTAACCCAGTGAGTTTTTAATACTGTTCTTACTGATGCTGCCACCCTGTTTCTAAATGGACATTGGTTCCTGGGGTATATATTTTTCTCTCAGCTTTGAAATAGTGAAGAATATTCTGCGAACTAAAGAACCTGGATATGAAAAGGCCTTTTTTTCTTTCTTTTTTGATTGTTGGGGTTGAGAAAGTCAAGAAGTATAGACTTCTTACTGTTTTAATAGTTTATTAAGTTTACCTTATATTCTTTATGCTTTCTTTTCCCTCTTTAGGGGCAATTGTTCAAATTTCAAGAATAATTTAATTTCTTCTTTTGAACCCAAATAAATTCTTTAAGCTATATCAGAGTTGTGAGTTGTCTTTTTCATGATACAGAAAGAGAATCTAAAAGCAAAAATAAACCAAACAAATAATGTATTTGTTAGAGTTTGAAATGTGGTTGTTCATTTTAGCCAATAATTTCAAAATAGCTAAAGGCACTGAAATATATTTATTTAATGAATTTATATGCCTGAAAAATAAAATTAGATGTTTGGAAGGAAGTGAAAAAATGTTTCAATTTTATTTTCTTAGAACATTTCAAATTAAAGGAAACTTTCATTTTATCCTTGCTTAATGGAGCTTTCTCCTAATTTGGTTTCTCCATCAATTATTCAGAGATTAAAATATATTTTATTGTAATATTCAGGCTTTCTAATTATAAGTACTCATCAGAGGAAAGATGAGATTATATTCTACCTTAACCAGCCCCTCCTCCACCCAACTGCCTGCTCCCCCTGACTTTCCTAACTTGGAAGAACACTCTTTAATGTCATGTTGCTGGAGTCTGATGGTCTTGTTCAATGTGTTTAATTGATTTGTTTAATTAAATTCAATGCTTTGTGCCATGCCTGTGAATTTTAGCTAAATATACTGCTATTTTTTATTTTTTATTTTTAGCAATGTGCACTAAATTGTATGTGCCTAATTCTGAAAATGACTTTGTATAATAAGGCTTATTTAACCATTGGTGGTTAGTGAGAAGTTGAGACTTACAGTTACTTATTGGTCATGATTGTAAAACACAGTAATAACGTGGAACTTTCATCTGCTGCAGGCATGTAAGGCACTTTGCTGCCAACCTCTCAGTCATTAGGAATGCTGCAATTTGGCTTATGTTTCACTAGTCAAGATGTCACAGAGATGATATTTAGTCGTGGGAAGCCTATCGCTATCCAACAGGCAAACATAGTAATAGGGTAAGCACTTCCAATTGGATTTTCATAGGAGGGATTGACTGTGTGCATTACTGAATCTGCGTAAAATGGTGTCCTTTTGGCACGAGCTAAATATAAATTTCAGAAAACGTTTTTTTCTTGCTGCAGATTAGTACAATACAGTGAAATTTTCTGTAATGGGGGGGGGGGAGGCCCGCAGTGGTTGTGCGTCTGCTAATAGCCTGAAAATATCTAATGAGGATGTGCAGTGAGAGCGATTGATTGAATAGCTGCAGTCCTGTGTGTTCTTTCTCGCTTACTCTCTCTGCAAGCTGTAGTGAGGGAGGGGTGGGGGAAGAGCAAGACACGGGGAGGGAGCGAGAGAAAGACGCTCTCTCTTAAGTGGAAGTAGCACGGATCCCAGGGGCCAGGAGGCCAGAAATGGAAGTCTAAACTGCATCTATCTTTTAAAGGGAGAGCAGCGGGAAGCAAAATGTCAGTCTCCGGAGTCAGGATTTACTTCTCATTTTTTAAGATCTGGAAGATAACACAGAATACTTTTTTTAGGATGTTTTTTTTTTTTTCCTTGTTCATGTTGAGATTATTTAATGTTATCTGAGAAGCTGGATTCCTATGTATCTGTCAGTTGAAGTGGAGATGGGAAGCAGTTGTGATAAAGGTATAATATGTATCTATCTATCATCTGTGTGTGTGTATGTGCATAAATATGCATATGTATATCACTCTATAAAAATTAAATGTAACCTTAATGTAGTGCATAGTAGTTAAGTTGGATATTTATCACATTGTGTGCAAAATCTGAAGCTTGTTAGGTAGTTTGAACAGATTTAGGATTCCAGAGTAATGTCTTAGTAAGGTCATTTTGCGAGAACAAGGAGAAGCTGATCTATTTTTATATCTGCATAGGCATATATGTTATTTTCTCCTGGCAGCAGCTTTCAGTCTTCACATGGCCCTTTGGTTGCAGTCTGGTGAATCATCTTATTTGCACTGAACTGAACTTTGACCTTTGTGCAAACACCTTCAAATCCTGAGCAACACTAGACTATTTTGCTCACAAGAATATAAAAAAATTCTATTAACTCCTCTGCTGCTGACAAATAGAGAAGTAGATTCATACACTGTAAAAAACAAACATTAAGTGAACTTATAGATATTAAACATAGCTCAAAAGAAATTATTTTTAATGTGCACAGATGAAACATAAGCAATCACACTAAAGCATATTCTTAACTGTGACCATCTCCTAGTGTCTACATAGTTCAAACACCACAAAGATAAAAAGAGAAATATGTGGTTCTAGAATATTTATTATGCACCTTTAAAGCAAACTGATTTTTTTAGGGGGTTGGGAGTGGGAATAATTTTCCAATAAAGTTACGCATTTTAAATTTTGGGTTCTTACTGGTGTTTCTTTTTCAGAGGTGCCAGCAGAAAGATCCCCTCGCAGACGGAGTATCTCAGGGACCAGTACCTCCGAGAAACCCAACTCCATGGACACTGCTTATACCTCACCTTTCAAAGTACCAGTAAGTATTTCTCTTCTCTAAAAGGATATTTCCTTTTGTGGTTTCTTCTTAGAGTTACACTTGCTAAGGAGTAGAACATTTTACTTCTCAAGAATTTCTTCACAATACTTAGGGTTAAAGACAGAGTTGTTAACTTCTATAGATTAACTGTTTTTAGGGAATTTTAATTTTTACTTGTGGGATACTTCCAAATTATGTACCTAAGTACATTAAATTCAAATTCCTCTGAAAAATAGAGTACAAATCTTTGCAGAATGCCCTTTTATCAAGTCACTAGCCAAAACCTATCACAATTCTATAAAGATGCTGGTGAGATTTTTTTTTATTTTTATTTTCCAGAACTGAAACATAGGTAGAGAATAAGACTCATAAAGTTGCAGAGAAAATTATAAGAGAATTTAAACAATTGTGAGTTCTAATTCTGAAATCCGGTCTGTGCTTTTACTAAGTCTGTTTTAAATGACCATTGAAATGCTCTAGAAATACCCTGAAAGAAATATCCCATTTAAAAATAATCCTTAAACTGACAGGTAGTACTGAGACTCAGTATTAACTTCAGAGGAATGCTGGGATGGAAAGGCTGTAAGTGATCAGGTCAGCTGACCACCAGTTGCAGGTGTAATTTGGACCATTTTGATAAAACACTGACTAATTCACATTTTAATTCATCCATTTTCTTTGTTTATTGAGCAAGAATCATATAATTAAATCATATACATTCTAATCATATTATTAAAATTCATTGGAAAGAATTACTTTCATGATCTTGGTCATTGTTGTAGATACAATGGAAATCAATATAAAATATAAATAGATTTTTCTATGGAAAAAATGTGTGTGTTTTTTTAAATTCAGCCAAGTTAATATGTTATTTACTTATTCCAATGCTAATTTTTTTTAAAGTTGGGACCTTTTAAGTATTATAGAACTGATATTTTGAGATATATAAGTAGTTATTCATTAGTAAGTTAATAACTTAAATGATGTTTAATTTTGGATTAACTCTGAGGAGAAAGATTTCCCTTTATTGTATCTTAGTGAATAGTTATTGTGCCCTTTCAAATTTTTACAAACTTTTCATTTTTAAAGTTCAAATGTTGGATTAATATTCTAAGCCAGTTTTGATAAGAATATCAAAATATCAGACTTGATGCATTTTATTAAATTTCTTTGTTTCATAGACAAAGCTATCTATTTTTAAAACTTTTTATGAATGAAGGCAGCATTTCCCCCTCTCCTTATTTTCCTGATGAAACAGAGATCAAATATACTGAAACTATCCATATTCAGGGTGTGGTACAAAGGAATTGAATTAGAATTTGAAGTTTTAATCCATCATGCTGGAATAAAATGGTGAATTCTTAGAATTTTTTTTAAGTCAGTAATTGAAGGATATCCCTCTACAGGATGGTACTTCTAAGTTGAGTTTGAAGTTCATGACTGGGCTTTTAAATTTGGAATTAATTAAAAACAATAATTTTATTCGTATTTAATAAGTTGATATCTAATCTAAGGTTTACCTTAATAATACGACTAACTATTCTTGAGTAAAAGTAATAAAGCAATAATGCATACATATGAAGGCTAGCACTACTTCTGGACAACTTACTCAGTTGTTAGTCTCCCGACAGTCTCAGCTACCTCATAGATATAGAAATATTGAGGGAAAGAAGAGACCTTTACCTAACAAATTGCAGTCACCAGACCTATGCACTGAACTCTTGAGGAGAGTTTAAACATTCCCAAGACTGTTTGAAAAATAACTATCAGAACACACTGTTTGCAGAGTCATAAAAAACAATCTGAATCCACTTAGGATAAAGGCAAATAGCCTTACATTCATAATAGCCCTATGGGTAACATTGCATTACAGATGGATGGTGCATAGTGCAGTAATTGACGTTGATAATAATGATCTTGAATCATCAAGAAAAAGTGAGGTTATATTTGTTGTGCTGGACTTTTAAAAAGTGGGACTGTATAATATTGCATGATATATATCCAGTGAGAATATTTAAAATTTTGAAGATATGTGATACTTATAAAACTTATCAGAAAAATCTGGTTTGTAAAGTACCTTGTTCCTTGGTAATGCTGGATAAATAATTTATATTCTTTAAAGAGAATCATAATATGCTGGCTAACTGAGGCACTGTAGTACGTGGCTGACTGTGGACGTACATTATATTTTTTAAATTTACATATAGCTAATGTGACTTACTTATATCACTTAAATTAACATCAATAGCCAATGTGACTTACTTATATCACTTAAATGTATCATCAGTAAGAAGTATCTGTAGTTTTTAGATTAATACAAAATACTTCCGTAATGTATGCTATGGTGGACTCTGAATACAGAAAAATAGTACAAAAAGGAACCAAACCTTGAGATACTTAACTGTAAGTTATTTACACGATATCACAAAGGAGGTCATTTCCATGTTAAATTTATGAAGGGGCAGAAGTGAGATTTAAGCACAAGTACTTGTGGTTCTGAGGTTCAAGTGTCTTTACTATGATGAACAGCAGGTTCACTGCTCATTAGATGAACCCAAAAAGGAACTAGTAGTGGATTCCCCAAAAGGTCTTTTTTTCTCATAGCAACATACTCAGGCTTACTGAAAGTAGAGCAGATGAAATAGATTTTAGCAAGCTTTGACTAAAATTATTGACACTGACACACTTATCAAACACTTACTTTGAGCAAAGTATTGGTGATTCACCAATTATTGATACTTTCTTGGCACTCTGCTTGGTTCTAGGGAAACAGAAATGGATACAGAAATTTTCACTCCCAGAGTACATATAGTCTAGTAGCAAGAGACAGAAAAAGGACCAGATTCATAAGGAGGTAGATAAGCATGGTGGCATGAGTGTTTAACATTGTATTGTGTAAACTAAGGCTTTGCCAAGGAACCAGGATTTGAACTGAGTTTCCAAGGCTGAATGAAAATAATTGACAAGGGGAGAGAGTAAACCAGACTGAGGGAACAACATTTTGGAAAGATACACTTTATACAGTAACTGATGCTTTCAGGGAATATGGAAAGTGTTCAGTGAGGCGGGAATCGAAAGTATATAGGCAAAAATGGCAAGAGAGAAGGCTGGGAAGGTAAGTTGGGACAAGGCTGTGAGTGGATTTGTTTGTCAAGTTTAAATTTTGCTGGCTGCTGAAACATTAGGTATTTGTTTATTGAAATATTTGTCCTGGCTCAAAAGCTAAATCAAGTTTATAAATACTGTGAAGTATTGGTAAATTACTTGACTCTTCCCCAAGCGACTCTTTTTCCTCTTGATAACACTCAATGAATGATGGGTGAGGGGCTATCATTGTGTGGAGGGCCAGCCCAGCACCCACCTCTGGCTACCAGCGGACACTGCTGATAGTTCTAGAGTAGGGTTTAGCATCAGGGAGATCAAAGAGAAGCCAGTGGGTAAGAGTTGCTTATATCCTGCTCATTGCTGCTAGATGAGGCAGAAAGGAGCCAAGGAATAGCAGTGAGGCCACATCAGGTAAGCCTAAAACCTTTGTATGTCCTCCCCACTCCCTCAAATTTATATTTTTATATAAATGTGTTCATGTATATTCCTTACTTAGTCTAAGCCATCTTTTGTGCATGTAGTAGGCAGCAAAGTCAGTAAGCTTAAAAATAAGGACATACAAAATGAAAAAGGGAACTTATATGGACATGTGAACATATATAAGGCAATAACTTGTTTTTTAGGAATGTTTAAATGTATTTGTATTTTAATTTTAGCCATAAGAAAAGGCAGCGATTTGCAGGATAGCTGTTCTGTTCTTCCTCCATTCTCACCCAATATTTCTTCGCCTTAATTCCAATTGTAATTATAGTTGACCCTTGAACAATGAGAAGGGTTAGAGGAACCCACCATCCCAGCAGTCGAAAGTTTGCGTATAATTTGTCAGACCTCTTCATACGTAGATTCCCAACTATAGATCGAAAATAGTATTTGTCAGTCTTTGTACCTCATTAGATAATAAATATCTCCTTTACTCATCTTTGTTGCTACCCCAATGCCTAACACAGAATCTTACACATAGTAGATTCTCAACAATAATTGTGAGTGCACAAAATATGTGTGAATTATTGAAGGACAAGAATAGAGTATCTCTCTACACATATTCTCTTGGTATTACTGGTGATGTCTCCAAATAGATTATTAAACTATTTAATAACCACTAAGGAATCATTTGGAATAAATGAGTGTACCTGTTGCAGAATATATTTTTCCTCAACAGAGAGAGAATTGAATTTGTATTTGGAATTCAGGGCTATGATATTTTATGTGTAGAGGATATGCTGTATCTACTTACATTGAGTAGGAAGTGAAATTAGATAGATTTCTTTAATGACTTGTTTCTGTGGCTATTTCTTTGAGCCCTTTTGGTGTCATACATATACATAAATTCACAGTGTTTCTACAGATCTGAGTTTTGACTGTTAGATTCTTCAAGAATAATTTTAGTCATTAGAATAGTTTTGCCTCTTTTTAGAGGTCCTATTTTTCATTTTTTCTTTAATATCCTGGTAGATTTTTTTGGTCATATTTGTCATACTGTGTTTTCCTTTAAGATATCCATTCTATGTTTCATACATTGTTAAAACTGCATTTAAATATTATAAGGGTTGTTAGGAAGAAATGAGTAAACTACTGAAAAGTTATTTAGGTACTTATAATTTAATTCAGAATGGGAAAATAATCATGTCTTGCAATTGTATGTGTTTGTTTCACTTGCCTTAGTTTTTGGAACAGCCTCCTTTCTTGAATATTCTTTTTATAAAGTGACTATTGATATTTATGACTTTTTTTTTTAATCACTTCTTTGTACAAGATGCTATCAATTTAGTTTTGGCTAAGAGAAGGCTGCTTGTGTTCTGGGCCAGGTGCTGGATGTAGTGTTCTCATTTCCATAACACAATGGTGTGTGTTGGCCTTCCATGTGAATATAACACAATGCAGTTGCAGCTGCTTCA